CTTTCCATAGCAGTTTTTTTTAAACAACTGCTAATTTATTTCTCACAACTGACTATTTATCATAAAAGTAACTTTATCTCTCCATAGCAGTTTTTTTTAAACAACTGCTAATTTATTTCTCACAACTGCGACTTGATCATATCTATAACTTTATCTCTCAATTGCAATTTTATCTCACAAATGCAACTTTATTTCTCAAAATTGTGTCTATTTCTCCTATTTGCTTTTTTATTTCTCACATTCTCTACTTTATTTCTCACATTCGCTTCATTTCCCACATTTACTTGTTTTCCCCCATTTTCTCCATTTCTTACATTTACAACTTCTCTGTGCATTCCTCCTCATGCCTGTGGTGAATCCATGGTTGATTCAACAGAAATCCATATGAAAGAGAAACGCCATAGTTCTAGTGTATTTCTGTCTTTCTCTGCGCTCAGAATGGCCCTTATAAGTCAATGGCATATTCCAGGAAGAGCAGACTGTGTAACACTACCGTTTTGCCCTATAGGCAGCAGAGGGACAACATATCCAAAAGCTCTCATAAACAACCACATAATCTGCAAGGAAGACTATACAGATCAAGAAAAGCAAACATCTAATGGTGCATTTCACACATTGCATTATTAAGTCCATATAAAAACTAAAGGGTGTTAAACTTCAGTAGCACTGCTAGAAATTTAGGACATAGACATGTCTTACAAAATAAGAACAAATATTTAACTGTGTAAGTCATTACACATGTTCATTTCAAAATACAAAAGAAACGCCTGCGGAGGAAAAAGCAAGTGATTTATCAACTGAGACACATTTGATGCCAGTCTGGGCCTGTTGATCTCTATAGTCCGAGCAATTCACACTAACGATGAATAATCCTGGACAACATGGAGAAAATAACACTACAGTCTGACCAAAACTATACATATCACAGAAGCTAGGAAACTTCCAAAAGAAACACCATCACCGCTGGAGAATTCTTAATGGTCAAAATCTTACTCAACATCTTCACACCTGTCAACTGTTTACCTGAGGACAGCCCTAACAAGGGACCAAAACTGGTCTTTTAAGAGACTTTCCTGGAAAATCTATTAGTTTACTATGTTTTGGAGCATTTTAGCAGGTTTCTAGATAGTAGACCATCTTGGACCAGCAACATAGCTTAAGGTGATCCTTCAGATGGATTTCCCAACAGTGAATGTTGTCCGTTTAGCCAATGACTGTATCAGACAGATAATATTTTTTGAAAATCATGCTTTAGTGCTGTATTGGCATTATCTAAGAGATAAAGAGACAAACCAAACCCAGACAGCTGAGGAGCACTCCAAAGGCTGCAGTAAATTATTTACACCATTCTTGAAACTAACCTGGCTAAGATGTAATCAAACACCTGACTGACTGGATATCGAATACAAACTTGACATTATTTATTTGTTTATTTGCAGGTAAAGACTTACCTGTGTAATATTTGTTAATTCATTACTGTAACAAATATCGAACGCATTTATTTGTTTTAATATTACAGTTATCTTCATATGAATGGGAACAGTGTATTCTGTCAACGCAGCGCGTGCCCAATATAGCGCGTCACTCTAAGTTTCCCAGCAGCTCGCGCACTGAGTCTGACACGCGCTCAAATGAGATCAGCAAACTTACTTTTTCCGCTGTAATGTGACTTTCGGCAGAATCTGTTTGACAGTGGTCGATATTATCCGTAGCGTATCTAAGCTCTAACGTTTGTCACACACAGAGAATAATGCTCTTATCTCATGACTCCATCCACTCGGTTGTCGATATCAGTCTCGCTCGCGACTCACTTGCTCTTTATATGCGTCTTACAATTAGAGGCGGCGCTTCTCATGACGCCCAATGGGAAGTTCAGATAAACTTATAAGGCGAATCCCACTGTTGAATTTTTTTTAGCAGTCGTCTGCACTTCATTCTCAACTGTCTTGAAGGTTTCAGCTTAGGAAAACTGTCATGTAAAATGCTTTTAACAGTAAAACAAAACTTAAGAGGTTTCAGGTTTTTCCAATTTTGTATTGCGAAATAGCCTATGTTAATGGGGTGTAACATATGTCTATGGAAACGAATTATACCTGCAAAACGTTGTTTCATTAATAGCTTAGGACAAATCTAGGCTAAATATTCATCTTGCAATCATATTAAAAATAGTTTTTCTGTCCATTGCACAACACAAATCTATGCATGCATAATTGGAATATTGCCCAAAACGCATGAATTGATCCCCTACAGCCATTTGTTTCTTCTCTCTCTAACACACACACACACTAGTTGCATCTTATGTTTTACTGCCCAGTACCCGCTATCCTACAGACGCCTCGTGTTCCAGGCACCTGGTCTCTCTCCTTTAACATGCAATCCAATTTGACCAAACACCCAGAAAATAGACCATCAAAAGCATATCTTCACGCCAAACCTATTTTTTCATTCTTTTTTAATACTATTCTCTTTATATAAACAATATGCTACTGTAGTAGGCTAGCGTTTGAGTCTTGATAACTATGATAAGCGTGCGTTTTGTCTTACCTACAACTGAGGAATAGCTCTGCTGGCACGAGCAGCTCAGTTTAATCACACACATGCTGGCAGGTGTTTCATTAGGATAGGCAGGGAGTGAGTGGTGAACGATATGTACTCTGTCGCCATCTACTGGATTATTAAAGTATGTGCACACACTTCATGCACATTGAAAGCCCAAAGTGCAATGAATGAGACGTGATCATGAGTCAATATGGAACAAAAACAGACTAATTCATGTTGAAACAAGGAGCCGTACAAATCGATTTGGACTGAAAGCCCAGCTGTGACTACACAGCAACTTATAAAATATTATAAATAATTATAAATATTGCCTACCATTTATTTAAAAGTTAAATAAAAATATTAAATATTATATAGCCTATTTTTAGCATTATACACTGTCAGCCAAAGGTTTTGAATAATTAAGGTTTTTAAATGTTTTTGAAAGAAGTCTCTTGTACTCACCAAGGCTGCATTTATTTTATCAAAAATACAGTAAAACAACAATATTGTGAAACATTACAATCTAAAATAACTGTTTTCTATTTGAATATATTTTAAAATGTCATTTATTCCTGTTATGGGAAATCTGAATTTTCAGCAGCCATTACTCTAGCCTTTAGTGTCACATGATCCTTCAGAAATCATTAACAGTTTTTATCAAATCAGTTTTTGCTGCTTATTATTTTTGTGGAAACTGTGATGCATTTTTTTCAGGATTCTTTGATGGATAGAAATAAAGTTTATTGAACAGCATTTATCTGAAATAGCAAAGAGATTTATAATTTTACAAAAAAGATTTCTGTAACTTTTGATCATTAATACATTAATGAATAGGTATTCTTCATCTTCTTCTTCTTATTATTTTAATCGTATTTAAGTATTAAGTATATTACGTGTTCCATAAAAATATTAACCAGCCATAAATAAATAAATAAATCTGGAAAAAAACAGGATCTTGTGACACTGAAGACTGGGGCAATGGCTGCTGAATCGTGTAATGACAGCCATCACAGGAATAAATTACATTTTAAAATATATTCAAATAGAAAACACAGTCGTGTCTGTCGAGCTAGCATAGGCCTACTTTTTATTTGTTTCCATAATTTTTCAAGGCCAGTGTGCTGTCGCTTTAATAATTGAGCCATCAGACGCCAAAAACCTTTTCCGGTCTTTTTTTCCCCTCAAAAGTTTCCAAATAATCGACGTCCCAGGCATAGACAGGGTCTGTGATTCCCGCCAGGGGTGACTCGCCTAAGCACAAAACGATGCTGAAATTTGTTATATTATCCCTTTGCGTCGGCTTTGTGGTGGGCAGCTCAGTCCACAGAGGGGGACATCTGGACATCACCGAGGCCCTGGAGGAGCATGTGGCGCAGGGACAAACCACTTTAAACGAGATGTTCAGGGAAGTGGAAAAACTGATGGAGGACACGCAACAAAAACTAGAGGAGGCTGTTCACCAGGTATGACTAGATTAAAAAACAATCCTAGTAGATTAACATTTTAATTTTGTTTTGCGCCATTGTGCTTTGAGTGTACAGGAGGATTATCGCTGACCGATTCATAAACGAATTTTTCTTTGTGAGTCGGATCTTTTCATTGGACCTTTTTAAGCCGGTTCACAAAACCTCGAACGAATCTGAGCGAACCGAGTCAACAGACATGGTTTTTAATAAATAACAAATGTATTAAAATGTGCAAAATGTTTACCGATGTAGATTAATTTTAGTAGTGTTAAGTATAAACAAACTGAACTGGAACACATACAATTTCAACAGATAGTATTATTAATAAAACTTATTCGAAATCACACACACACACACACACACACACACACATACAGGTATATAGGCTATATATATATATATGTAATGCTACCGAATCGTTTTTGAACTGATTCTTTGAAATGAACTGATTCGCTAAAATGAATCGTAATATTTATATCCGATTTTGCAATGTATTGTAAGAATTACAATCAAAACATTCACATCTATTATTATTAATCTTATTTGAATCAGATGGAGAATGAGTCTTCAAAATCGTTGCTACATGGACGCAACTTTCCTGCCAGTTTTCACAATGAAACTATGACCGTGATCAAGGTTGGAAATCGGACTGTCCAGCTGATAGAGAGAATCGACAAGGTATTTCTTATTTATTCTACTCTGTTTATTGGCTTGTACTTGATCTGATTTAGATTTTTATTTGCACCATATTGCATTAACAGAACTGCACTGTTTATATGTCTTTTGCCTTGTATATTGATTTGCCTTGTATAACTAACACCTGGTTTTCCTCTAGGAAACCGATAATAAGATTGGAAAGACACATTTTTCCAGAACTCTCATTCAGAACACTGAACGGTGGAATGAAGTAGATCACGTGAGTCTATTTCTCATCTATAGCTTTAATATCTCCTATCACTTTAAGTTGTTGTAATCTAATTTCTGAAAAGTGGTCTGGATTGTTTCCAGCCATATTAAACAGATATCAAACTTTCAGTGCACATTCTGGTAAGTAAACATTGGTCTGGCTGCATTGGTCACTCTGGGCAGTGCTATGAACCCTGCAGTGAGTTTGTCGTCACCTAGGCAACATGAGGTTAGAAAGCAGAGTTTATTTATTAAAACCAACATGGATTTTCCACTTCACCAGTCATCAAACTAGGATCCTCCGTTTGCTTGGGAAACATGTGGCACATCATTACGGAGACTTTTCTAAACGTTGAATTCTTGTAAAACGTTTGATAAAGTAGTTGAGGGACAGATGGTCCGTATCAGTCCTCTTTCCGCATGTGTTGCACTGTTGTGTTACCACGGACTAAAATATAAGCTTTTATTTCTTATAAGGCTAATACAAATGTCCTCTACAGAAATTAGTCCTTTAAACCCTGGATCTTTCAACATATACATACACATTATGTCTTCGTTTTCAAAACTAAATGTGATGTTTTTACTCACAAATCTCTTGAATTACAGTCTAACTCTATTTAACAGCTTTTGATTTAAATCAATTATATCTACTACATTGTATCTATTCCAGAGTAAAAACATTACACATATGGTCCTTATGCATTTCCACAACAATTTAACAGACGGCAGTGTCATTAGAGGCTCTTTGGCCAGGCAGTCTTCTGGCACCATGACAATATATGGTGAAATTAGAACAGCTGGAAAAAATGCATGGAAAGTGGTGCACTGGGAATGTGTGGTGGAGAGTTAGTGCCAGCTGCCATGTTACCATGAGGCAGCACTTAGTGGTTTATCTCCTGTTTTGCACAGCGGCAAATGTGAGCTCACAGTTAAAAGATAAGCATTATATGTGAGGGATAAAAATATACAGCCGGTCATTATTGCAAAATGTATCCCATAAATGAACAATAAATACATTATTACATGTATTACAAGACTACTAACCAAATGAAATCAATTATATATATATATATATATATATATACAGACGGTACAGAAAGATGTACATACATATAAACAATACTC